GGGTGTAGCCCCCTCTTGTGGGTGTAGCCCCCTCTTGTGGGTGTAGCCTCTCTTGTGGGTGTAGCCCCCTCTTGTGGGTGTAGCGCCTCTTGTGGGTGTAGCCTCTCTTGTGGGTGTAGCCCCCTCTTGTTGGTGTGGTCCCTCTTGTGGGTGTAGCCCCTCTTGTGGGTGTAGCCCCCTCTTGTGGGTGTAGCCTCTCTTGTGGGTGTAGCCCCCTCTTGTGGGTGTAGCGCCTCTTGTGGGTGTAGCGCCTCTTGTGGGTGTAGCGCCTCTTGTGGGTGTAGCGCCTCTTGTGGGTGTAGCCCCACTTGTGGGTGTAGCCCCCTCTTGTGGGTGTAGCCTCTCTTGTGGGTGTAGCCCCCTCTTGTGGGTGTAGCGCCTCTTGTGGGTGTAGCCTCTCTTGTGGGTGTAGCCCCCTCTTGTGGGTGTAGCGCCTCTTGTGGGTGTAGCCCCTCTTGTGGGTGTAGCGCCTCTTGTGGGTGTAGCGCCTCTTGTGGGTGTAGCGCCTCTTGTGGGTGTAGCGCCTCTTGTGGGTGTAGCCCCTCTTGTGGGTGTAGCCCCCTCTTGTGGGTGTAGCCCTCTCTTGTGGGTGTAGCCCCTCTTGTGGGTGTAGCCCCCTCTTGTGGGTGTAGTCCCTCTTGTGGGTGTAGCCCCCTCTTGTTGATGTGGTCCCTCTTGTGGGTGTAGCCCCCTCTTGTGGGTGTAGCCCCCCTCTTGTGGGTGTAGCCCCCTCTTGTGGGTGTAGCCCCCTCTTGTGGGTGTAGCCCCCTCTTGTGGGTGTAGTCCCTCTTGTGGGTATCATCATTTACAAGTTGTGTTCCATTACATTTAAGTGTAGCGAAGTGTGTGTGTGTGTGTGTGTGTGTGTGTGTGTGTGTGTGTGTGTGTGTGTGTGTGTGTGTGTGTGTGTGTGTGTGTGTGCGCGCGTGTGTGTGTGTGTGCGTGCGCGCGCGCGTTGCATAAAGCCACACGTGAATCATTGTGCTAATAACAATGAACTAGCGTATAGATCAGTGTAAAAGATATATAATACAATATAACACCCCCATATATATATATATATATATATATATATATATATATATATATATATATATATATATATATATATATATATATATATATATATATATATATATATACACACACACACACACACACACACACACACACACACACACACACACACACACACACACACACACACACACACACACACACACACACACACACACAATTCAAAACCGTAAATGCTCAAACAAACAGTTGCAGGTCATTAGAATATGCAATATGTCTTGCAAGTTGAGGTTAAAAAATTAAGGTGTGGCAGTAAGTTGCAGCCTAAGAATGAGTAACATTAGCACAAACCTAAGTTGTGAATGCGACGCTTGACAAGTGCAGGCAACTTAATGCAAAAAAAAAAAATATAAATAGGTTATAATTTAATATAAAAAAAGCAAAGTCGTGAAAAAAATGCGACTTGGGGCATTTTTATAAATTTCATAAAGAGATGCAGATTGTGAATTGATGCAACGTGTGTGTGAGAGAGAGAGAGATGCGGATTGTGAGTTGACGCAAAGATGCATATTGTGAGTTGACGCAAAGATGCATATTGTGAGTTGACGCAAAGATGCATATTGTGAGTTGACGCAAAGATGCATATTGTGAGTTGACGCAAAGATGCATATTGTGAGTTGACGCAAAGATGCAAAATGTGAGTAAGTTGACGCAACGCGTCATATATTGAGATGCAGAACGTAGTCAAATCATCCTGTACATGCCACGAGCCGTGAGATGACCTCCAAAATATTCAAGCCACAATATATAAAAATATATATAAAATATATATATATAAAATATATATAAAATATATATATATAAAATATATATAAAAATATATATAAAATATATATATATAAAATATATGTAAAAAAAGGAAGAGCTTTGACGCAAATGACGGCGGCCTTGACTTATCTTGACAGATGTTGGGCTTGACTGCTGTTGGCTCCCCGGCACCTGCCACAGGTGCTACCAGGAAAATAAAGAGAAAAATAAGGATAAGTGACAGATGTTTCGAAGACAATGTTCGCCTCAATACACCGGTTTAGGACCAGTTTCCTCCATCTGTAAGTTACTTACATTCTCGTCACGCGCTTAAGTGAGTACCTGAACAGGCGCTTAAGTGAGTACCTGAACAGGCGCTCAAGTGAGTACCTGAACAGGCGCTCAAGTGAGTACCTGAACAGGCGCTCAAGTGAGTACCTGAACAGGCGCTCAAGTGAGTACCTGAACACGGGCTCAAGTGAGTACCTGAACACGCGCTGAAATGTCAGTACAGTGATTGGTGGATAATGTAGGGTGATGGAGGCGGACGCTAGGATGATGGAGGCATGATGTAGGATGATAGAGGCGTGATGGCATGATGTAGGATGATAGAGGCGTGATGGAGGGAACTATGACTGCCAGCACTGCCCTATGACAGTCCTCAGGCGTCTCAACGCCGCAAGTACTCAGTGCAATGCATACCGTATACGCGTATATACATATGTATATTTCTATCCATACAAGTATACCTACATACGTAGGCCTCCAACCATACCGTACATCCATACATGTATGTTTCCGACCAGTTCTTATGTGTACATGTGTATGAGTCCAACCAGTCACGTATGCTTGTATGATTTGTTTCCACATGTGTATTTCTATCCACATGTGGGTATATGCAGCAAATACATCACAAAAATACATTCCAAAAGATTGTTGATATAGTTACTAAGAGCAGCAGCTCCTATTGGCCCATACAAGGTAGTTACTACTGACCCATACGAGGCAGCTCCTATTGGCCCATACAAGGCAGCTGCTATTGGCCCATACGAGGCAGTTACTACTGACCCATACCAGGCAGCTCCTATTGGTCCATACGAAGCAGCTCCTATTAACCCATACGAGGCAGCTAATATTGACCCATACGAGGCAGCTAATATTGACCCATACGAGGCAGCTAATATTTATTCCCACCCAAACACATATATACACGCCTTACCTACGTCAATATGGAACGATCTTAGGTCAGAGAATGGTTCAACATGGATAGTTTGTCAGTCAAAATTGCTTTTTTCGGGATCAAGTATAATAATTAATTGACAGGTATAGCCAATAATGCAACAGGTGAGAGTAGCCTCTCTCTTGACAGGTGAGGTCAAGGGGGGGGGGAATTTTCACAGTCCTGTGAAAATTGAATTTTTCAACCATCAACTTTTCAATCTTTATGTACTAGAATTGCTAAGAGCTAACTAGTGCTGAGAAGGGAATACGAACTAGGACATAACTAGAGTGATGAGATGATTATGTACAAGGATTACTAGAACCTAACTAGTGATGTGAGGACAAAGCCAATTCTAGTTTCCCCTTGACTAGCACCCGAGGTTAGATGCATTACATAACTAGCAGCTAGTCGGGTAATTAGAAAGAGTTAGCTAATAGGCCTACTAGAGCAAATTGGCAACTGGAAGAGCTAGCACATGTAATGAGTACACTTATCGAGTATCTGTAATAGCATATAGCTAGTTATAAGTGAGGTATGTAAAAGAAAATACTAGTGATAACTAGTAATATGTAGAGATAAAGGAAGGTGGAAAGAAATTGAAGAATGCTAGTAAAAGTGGCTAGTTCGTGTGTGAGATAACTAGCACTATGAAGAGACACCTAGTACTATGATAACTAGCGCTATGATAACTAGCACTATGATAACAAGTTCTAGAATAACTAGCACCATGCAGACACAACTTGAACTGTGATATCTAGCACTAAGCAAATAACTAGCAGTTTGATAGTGTTATAACTAGCACTATGCAAAATAACTAGCAGTTTGATAGTGTTATAACTAGCACTATACAAAATAACTAGCAGTTTGATAGTGTTATAACTAGCACTATGCAAAATAACTAGCAGTTTGATAGTGTTATAACTAGCACTATACACAATAACTAGCAGTTTGATAGTGTTATAACTAGCACTATGCGAAATAACTAGCAGTTTGATAGTGTTATAACTAGCACTATACAAAATAACTAGCAGTTTGATAGTGTTATAACTAGCACTATGCAAAATAACTAGCAGTTTTATAGTGTTATAACTAGCACTATACACAATAACTAGCAGTTTGATAGTGTTATAACTAGCACTATACACAATAACTAGCAGTTTGATAGTGTTATAACGAGCACTATACAAAATAACTAGCAGTTTGATAGTTATAACTAGCACTATACACAATAACTAGCAGTTTGATAGTGTTATAACTAGCACTATGCAAAATAACTAGCAGTTTGATAGTGTTATAACTAGCACTATGCAAAATAACTAGCAGTTTGATAGTGTTATAACTAGCACTATACAAAATAACTAGCAGTTTGATAGTGTTATAACTAGCACTATGCAAAATAACTAGCAGTTTGATAGTGTTATAACTAGCACTATACACAATAACTAGCAGTTTGATAGTGTTATAACGAGCACTATACAAAATAACTAGCAGTTTGATAGTGTTATAACTAGCACTATACACAATAACTAGCAGTTTGATAGTGTTATAACTAGCACTATGCAAAATAACTAGCAGTTTGATAGTGTTATAACTAGCACTATGCAAAATAACTAGCAGTTTGATAGTGTTATAACGAGCACTATGCACAATAACTAGCAGTTTGATAGTGTTATAACGAGCACTATACAAAATAACTAGCAGTTTGATAGTGTTATAACGAGCACTATACAAAATAACTAGCAGTTTGATAGTGTTATAACTAGCACTATGACAATTACCACTGTGATAACTAGCACTATGATAACTAGCACTAAGATAACTAGCACTAAGGAGAGGCGAAGCATCAACGACCGGAAGGGAGATAATAGGAAGAACTAGCGGCTGTTATTTTCACAAAAAATATATTCCACTTATTTCGAGTAGTATTCCAGAGGTAATTATTGAGACTACTTACTTCCAATACTGTCAGTAAGGCCGCTAATCTCACCTGAAAGAGAATGAAAATGGTCTTTACATCACGCTCAGACGATCGGGGTTTGAGAGCGAGTACTTAGACGGTCGATACTGTGGTGGGGCGGTCATCACAGCCGCCTTGATCATGACAGACCGGTTCTTTCGATCACAGCTGTGTTTTACGGGTTATCTGGCGACAGAAACCGGTTGGGCAGATCGCATTCCCGTGGACAGAAACCGGCCGGATGCTTGGACATATCACATCATGGTGGATGTTGACAGTGTTCTCTGTACCTATGGCTGCTTTACGAGTCACTAGATCGAGGTACCTCTATGTTGTTTTTTCCTATTGTTGTTCCTTATGACACGTTTACATACAGGACAACCATATATTCTACTGATGCCCCAAGTCAACCATATATTCTACTGATGCCCCAAGTCAACCACATATTCTACTGATGCCCCAAGTCAACCATATATTCTACTGATGCCTCAAGTCAACCATATATTCTACTGATGCCTCAAGTCAACCATATATTCTACTGATGCCTCAAGTCAACCATATATTCTACTGATGCCTCAAGTCAACCATATATTCTACTGATGCCTCAAGTCAACCATATATTCTACTGATGCCCCAAGTCAACCATATATTCTACTGATGCCCCAAGTCAACCATATATTCTACTGATGCCCCAAGTCAACCATATATTCTACTGATGCCTCAAGTCAACCATATATTCTACTGATGCCTCAAGTCAACCATATATTCTACTGATGCCCCAAGTCAACCATATATTCTACTGATGCCCCAAGACAACCATATATTCTACTGATGCCCCAAGACAACCATATATTCTACTGATGCCCCAAGTCAACCATATATTCTACTGATGCCCCAAGACAACCACATATTCTACTGATGCCCCAAGTCAACCATATATTCTACTGATGCCCCAAGACAACCATATATTCTACTGATGCCTCAAGTCAACCATATATTCTACTGATGCCCCAAGTCAACCATATATTCTACTGATGCCTCAAGTCAACCATACCTTCCACAGCTTCTCCGTTTTCTAAGCTTCCACAGCTTCTCCGGTTTCTAAGCTTCCACAGCTTCTCCGTTTTCTAAGCTTCCACAGCTTCTCCGTTTTCTAAGCTTCCACAGCTTCTCCGTTTTCTAAGCTTCCGCAGCTTCTCCGTTTTCTAAGCTTCCGCAGCTTCTCCGTTTCTAAGCTTCCGCAGCTTTAGCATTTCGTAAGAAGTCATACAATTAAGAGACAATTGCGTAAACAGGTGATGCTTCAGTAGATAATACATTATCTACTACGTACTTAGTAGATATTATCTACCAAGTAGATAGTATCTTGGTTAATGTCTTCCATCGACGCAGAGGGTTCAAACACCAGCATAACACACTTAAGTAATTCGTAAGAGGTCTAAAGCTTTACTTAAGCTGCGGGGTAAGTATTTTTTGAAGAATGTTTGAAGACCACGAGTCTTCAAGCATTGCCCTGTATATTGTCGAAACCTGTACATCTTTCCACGATCATGACGGCTTAGTTTGTATTGTTAAACAATTTACGTGCTTGGGGTCTGACAGCCGAGTGGACAGCGCTTCGGATTCGTAGTCCTGAGGTTCCGGGTTCGATTCCCGGTGGAGAAGGAAACAAATGGGCATAATTTCTTTCACCCTGATGCTTCTGATCACCTAGCAGTAAAAATAGGTACCTGGGAGTTAGACAGCTGCGACGGGCTGCTTCCTGGGGGTAACAAAAACGAGGCCTGGTCGAGGACCGGGCCGCGGAGACGCTAAGCCCCGTTATGACCTCAAGATTGATGGAGACTTAACAACCCAAGTTTATTGTTGTTATAAACAACTTCGTAGTTATTCGGAACTCTAAACTGTTTACAGTAAGCAAAGTAGAAGCCTCCAGAATTAGGAAAGATGTAGAGGTTTCGTAAGAAGACAGGGAAATGCGTGATGGATCCTGGTTCGACCTCTGACAGTACCTGCTCAAGCTTCAGAGTAAGCGTGTTCATTGTCATATTTTTAATAGATACGTGTTCATAGTTTATTTAGTTATACTTATCCAGTGGGGCTTTTGGGCATATACCCATCCTAGAGGAGGGGGGGGAGGACAAGTGGGCCTAATACCCAACCTGTGAGTGGTAGTTGGCCCCATACCCATCCTGTGAGTGGTAGTGGGCCCCATACCCATCCTGTGAGTGGTAGTGGGCCCCATACCCATCCTGTGAGTGGTAGAGGGCCCCATACCCATCCTGTGAGTGGTAGTGGGCCTCATACCCATCCTGTGAGTGGTAGAGGGCCCCCATACCCATCCTGTGAGTGGTAGTGGGCCCCATACCCATCCTGTGAGTGGTAGAGGGCCCCATACCCATCCTGTGAGTGGTAGTGGGCCCCATACCCATCCTGTGAGTGGTAGTAGGTCCCATACCCATCCTGTGAGTGGTAGTGGGTCCCATACCCATCCTGTGAGTGGTAGTGGGTCCCATACCCATCCTGTGAGTGGTAGTGGGTCCCATACCCATCCTGTGAGTGGTAGTGGGTCCCATACCCATCCTGTGAGTGGTAGTGGGTCCCATACCCATCCTGTGAGTGGTAGTGGGTCCCATACCCATCCTGTGAGTGGTAGTGGGTCCCATACCCATCCTGTGAGTGGTAGTAGGTCCCATACCCATCCTGTGAGTGGTAGTGGGTCCCATACCCATCCTGTGAGTGGTAGTAGGTCCCATACCCATCCTGTGAATGATAGTGGGTCCCATACCCATCCTGTGGTAGTGGGTACCCAGTAGTGGGTCCCATACCCATCCTGTGAGTGGTAGTGGGTCCCATACCCATAGTGGTAGTGGGCCCCATACCCATCCTGTGAGTGGTAGTGGGTCCCATACCCATCCTGTGAGTGGTAGTGGGCCCCATACCCATCCTGTGAGTGGTAGTGGGTCCCATACCCATCCTGTGAGTGGTAGTGGGCCCCATACCCATCCTGTGAGTGGTAGTGGGCCCCATACCCATCCTGTGAGCTTGGTGTTCATATGTTGACAATGAACATCATCCTCCAATAATGACAGTACTTGTAACAACTAACTGTATTTGGTCAAACATAAAAACATAGACAGCTGGAGCCCCCAAATTAAAATTATTGAATATATAATTGGCCCAAATGTCACACATAAAGATATAATTGTAAATTAAAAATTTTATCTAACCTGTCCAAACAATGCTAGGCCTAATATATACTCTTAGGCCTATTATAATTAATATATGTACTATACTAGGCTTATATATACAAAAACAAATTTGTTTTTTTGTGCCTTCTACATATTAGTATACAATGTTGACTTCAACAGACGATTTTTGAACGTTTGGCCAAATAGTTGTTACAAGGGTTATAACTTAAGGAGGCAGGGTTGTGAATAATGTGATGAGATGTGGGTAATGGGGCAGTGAGAGCACAGTAACACTTTTCCCGAAGGAAGATGAATAGTCTGGTTGATCAGCAAGGTGAATAATATGCAAGATGAGAGGACCCTGAAGCACATGTGGGACTGACAGTTTTATTGATACTTGACATTACCTTAAAGCTGAAGAGACACTTAGACGATCCCCAGAAGTGTTTACCAAGTAGCTGTACTGTCTTGAAGGGTTGTTACGGCACTTAGGCTGACCCCCTCTACCCCCCTCTACCCCCCTGCAGTGTATCAAGTGGCTGTGGTCTCATATTATGGGGTAATCCCATATGTATCATCAGTGGCACTTAGATGTAGGGTCATTACAATACTGGCACGAATATAGGCACTCAGGCAGGTATAAGTCGAGCCGTAATATAGGATACTCTTGTTAGAATGCACTATTGTTAGTGTGTTAGTGTGTGTGTGTGTGTGTGTGTGTGTGTGTGTGTGTGTGTGTGTGTGTGTGTGTGTGTGTGTGTGTGTGTGTGTGTGTGTGTGTGTGTGTGTGTGGGTGGTGCAGTACTTTACCTGTGCATCAGCTGGGAGGGGAAGGGAGAGACTTGCCTCGCCTGGAAGCCGGGGACCTCAACCACCACACCACCACCACAGGCCTAGACAACCTGCTTTGACTCATGTAGCTTCATACAAGAGCTACGTTCGGGTAAAAACCAATTTGGGTCAAAAGGTTTGGGGTCGGAACCAATTTGGGTTAGAAAGTTTTGGGTCAGAACCAATTTGGATTGGAAAGTTTTAGTCAGTCAAAACACAACCAACTTGGATCATAACCAATCAGTTTGGATCATAACCAATCAGTTTGGGTCATATCCAATCAGTTTGGATCGTAACCAATTAGCTTGGATAATGCCCAACCAGTTTTGACCATAACCGATAAATTTGAATCATAACTTGGAGAAAGCAGCAGCTTTGCTCTGAACCAATTTTGATGTTCGAAAACTTTGGTCAAAACTAGTTAGGGGTCTAAACCAATTTGGGTATGGGCAACTTGGGTCATAACCAGTTTGGGTTTAAACTTAATTGGGTGTAGGAACATTCAGGTCAAAACCAAGGTAGAAGAAAACCCATCAGAGTCAAAACCCAGTTTGGGTCAAAACCAGTTTGGGTCAAAACCAAGTTGGGACTAAGAAAAATTGGGTCTAAACCAATTTGGGACTAAGAAAAATTGGGTCTAAACCAATTTGGGAGAGAAGTAACTTGCTAAGAATCAAAATAGGCAAAAGAAAGCCAGAAACTTTGATAGGAACATCAATGTCCCGAGAGATGCAGACTACATGTAACTTTGGTAGTCTTGGGGGGTCAGAGGTAGTCTTGGGGGGTCAGAGGTAGTCTTGGGGGGTCAGAGGTAGTCTTGGGGGGGTCAGAGGTAGTCTTGGGGGTCAGAGGTAGTCTTGGGGGGTCAGAGATAGTCTTGGGGGGGTCAGAGGTAGTCTTGGGGGGTCAGAGGTAGTCTTTGGGCCAGAGGTAGTTTGGGGGGTCAGAGGTAGTCTTGGGGGGGTCAGAGGTAGTCTTGGGGGGTCAGAGGTAGTTTTGAGGGGGTCA